GAGCATCTTTCTCTTTGACACCATGTCTGATATCCCACGTGATCTGTCAAATACTAATGCATGAAAATCCTAACCTCAAAAAAATCACCCGATATATTTGTACTATTTGTCTGTTCGCCCGTCCGCCCGTGCAAGCCGTAACTGAAGTAAAAATTTTAATATCTTGATGAAACTTGGTTCGTATTCGTCGTTATGCACCTGAAAATACTTCCCTGGTTTCAATCCCTGCAAGTTGCAAGAGTATGCAATATTTGGTTATACCCGAACTTAGCCCGTCCTTACTTGTTTAAATTAGTTTTGGTATATATTTTGATTATTTTTAAAACTGAATTTAAAATATTCGCATGCTTTCGCTGATAGTTTGATATATTTTATTTGTAAATCAGTCATTTACAGAAAGCTTGATATCATAGTATTGTGGGGTTATGAAATGATGTCATGTGTAGTGAATCAGATTGCTGACTTTTTGGCAATTTTCGTGCATTTTAATTGTGAATACTGGAAAATGCGATAACAGAAATTTCGAATAACACATCTCTCAGCATTTTACTAAAAAGTGTTATGGCATCACTTTAAAATTTTGATAGAGAATTTGTTTGTCGATATGATATGATTTTTGGTATTTAATGTTGGCACAGTTGGGATGTTTAATTTGGGAATTTTCACTTACAATTGTGAGTATTTCTTTTACCAAAGACTTAAACAAAAAAAACTGGCGGTTACGGTAAGTAGATTAGATAAGATGACTGATACCTCAGCATGGCGGAGTATCACACTTAGGCTATGACACAGAGTCTTTGGCGAAGTCAAACGAAACTGCTGTAATTGGATCTCTCTTAGATGTCATATTTCTGTTTCCGCTATTTTACCGTGATGTCTAGAAGAGAAGATCCGAGGCGTTTGCGCCTCGATCCAGCAAAAGCAAAAAATTCGAGAAAAAAGTCTCATGTTCTTCCATACAGCTGATCCAGCTGACGTCCGAAACTTAAATTCAATTCATGATTCCCGATCGAACAGTGTCCAGTTAGCACTACTGGTTGTAAAACTGAGAGGTGGCCCTTGCTGACTTTTTACGATTTAGTCAGAGCTAGAAGAGCCTTGCAACTAATCAACGCTAGCTGATTTGGCCTAACAGGTTCAACAGTGCAGTAGCAGCCGTTTCCAGACCGTAGTTACTGAAACTGAAGTATCGGTCCTAGCAAGCTCAGCAGACTTACAGTTTTCTGAAATACCGGTATGGCCAGCATATGCAAACCTGTCTAATCCTAAAGAAATTCCAGAAATCTACACATCCTTTCACTAATATTGAGCGCAGAGTGGATTGGATAGTATTAGTATTGGATAGTGGAGTGGGTAGTAACTACTCTGAGCGAAACATTGTTTTGGAATAAGAACGATTCGGTTTTGCTAGAGTTTATAGCGAGGCCGCTTTAAGCAGGCCAGTTGCATAAGTTGCTAAAATACCTCTGAGTTATCTCCTGCACAGCATTCACAAATTCCCCCCCACCCTGAGTGCTTATCGTCCTCCTAGGAAATCACCAGGCGGCCCACTTTCTCAAGCTTTTTCGAGAGAACTCTCTCTTGTGGGGTGCCTCTCCTCACGATCCGCCGTGCTCATGCACTAATCCATTCCAACATGATCGTTCTTTCGCAGACATATTTGAAGCTGAGGGTCTTAAGATTCGATTCAGCATCAAGCTCTAATGACCGGTTCCTGCAAAACGTAGTTGAATGCCCCGCTATATCGAGGAAGATCCTCCATAGGGGGTTGAACTTGTTCCTTAGAGTCACTCGCGCCGGGAGACAAGAGTGATCAAGGAGGCGATAGCAGCGGTTGCACTAGGACGTCTCGAATAAAAACTTGTTGGCAGGTTTTCGACCCAGAGAAGACGAATACCTTTTGTTTCGCGTGCCTAGCGCTGTCCATATCAACTTCATTGTTTATCAGTTTGTACCTATAAAGAATTCTGAAGGTACTCATATGTTCTCGCCATAAAGTAGATCGACTAGTGCTGCGTTCAAATCGTTTTTGTATGTGGATCGTAAGCCCAATAAAATATGTGATAAATAGGAAGTCCATTTGTGGCATAAAAGTTCTGCTTCGAATGTATGATGTCATCTTTCGACGGGACTATTTGCTCTTAAGGCATGGTTGTAAAATGGCGTGCTCCCAAGAGCTGCAGTAATTGTTGAAATAGGGCGCCTTCGTACTGACGTCCTAAGTCTGAAGTGACGGTCACAGCTACAACAAAGCTTGAGATCCAGTCATTTAGTAGTCCTTTGGCGACAGTTGGAGCTGTCATATCTGATATTGGTAACGCTTCTGCCCATCGTGTAAAATCAGCCAAGATTGTGAGACAATAACGATTTCGTGTGGATGGTGGAAATGGTCCGGTGGATGTTAAATGGAGTCTTCGAGGTTTGCGCATGCGAAAGAATCAAATGGAATTTAAAATTGTGCTATACAGGAAGTAGGTGTGATTGTTTTAAGATTTTGCTCCTTTGCGCACTGTGAGGAAAAGATGTAAGAGGAATTTCACGTACCAAATTTACTTGAAATTGGTCGGTCGGTTTCCGAGATATGCGATTTCACCTAAAAGTATGCGCTGGCATACCCATTGGTCAATTTTTGCCGAAAGACAGACAGATATCAATCCATATTACAACTCGTCATATAATCGTTAGGTGAACAAAACTGTTGAACTCTGTTGCAACATATTGCAGGAGTATAAAATTAATAAAGCACACATATATATGTATATATATATAAGTTTTTTTTTTCAAATAAATTAGCTAATAATGTAAACAAGAATAATTTCCGTGTACAATTTTTTATCGTCTATTTGTTTTGCTAATGTTTTCCAATCAATAATTGTTGTCATATGTATCAGATGTATTGGTCCGCTGGGGCGTATGAGTAACTAATTAAAAGCTTATCTAACAAAACACACCTTCCATAGCCGCAAAGATAAGCGAAACATGTTTAACCTTAATTTAAAATGCAATTTCGCAAATAAAACAACAAGACAAACAACATATTCGTTGCGCTTCAAGGAACACTGCGCTGACAGTGAAATTCTCATACAAAGCAATTGCATAAAAATTGACTTGCTGCAAGGAGTGCGTGGCGTAATATGTCATGTTTATCAGTTTAAATGCAAATTTAATTTACTTTAATGCATTCTGTGGTTTAATTTTTGGTTCAAAAATGCTAATTTATTTGGCTTTAATTTCGCTTGATAATTTCTAACATGCTTGCTATTAACAAAAATTTTAGATTATTGTAAAAATTTCGATGCTTACATAACTGCTTTAATCCTGCTCCGCCTGCACGCTGATATACATATTTTCATGTTGTATAAATTTATTATTAAAAGTACTACGCTTTCTTTAAAATGCTGCAGCTAACAAATAAGTGTGTACATATATATGGAGAAGCATACTTTCAGGGGCTCCACATGTAAATACTCATTTTATTCAAGCATATCAACAATTTTCACCTATTAAGTGACAATTTGATACTTTAAATGTGCCTTCCGCTGTAAATAAACCCTACTGTATATATGTGTGTGTACCCAATTGTGCTTGAACGAGCCACCTTTTGCTCTGCTCCCGCCCGCGTGCTCGTTAATAAATATGAAAGCTAAGCTGCTGCTAAACTTAGATTCGATTTTAATACTCCAAAACATAAATAAAACAAACTGTTCTCTCTTTGTTCTCTCCGTGTGCATTCCATAAATAGCAACTGATAATCTAACGTCTGTGATAATCTCCGATTCGAAGCAGAATCTCAAGGATACAACGGTGACATCGATGAATGCAACGCAAACACCCTCGGCCACGACAACAACCACCGTCACCACAACGATACCGCCAATGTTGGGCGGCAACGGCTTAGGCTACAGCGGTGGCAGCAGTAGTGGTGGTGGCGGTGGCGGCGGCGGCGTCGGTCTGAGTGTTGCAACCGCCACATTAACGACCAGCAATCACTTGGATGTGCCGCAAGCGGGGAATCCAAATCTGCTCAGCCCCGATGTGCTCAATCAGCGTAGAGGTGAGTGTGGTTTATGTACATTTAATGTGCAGCACTTTGGTGATTGTTAAATGAACGCTACTCATATAAATAGTAGGCAATCAAATTGTGCAATATATAATTTCATTGTGCAATATTTATTCATTCACTTTTATTGTGCTATATTTCAAAATGGCTAGTGTTGAAAAAAGTGGCAGGAATTCCTTCCAACTATTTGTTTTACGATGTGCATTGATGAAGTGTCGCGCATTATACGACGGTGTGGTGTTAAAACTCTTTTATAGCGAAAAAAATATTCATTTAACTATCAACAGAATAGCATTAAGTCTGGTTTGTCATATGTCCGCAAACACCCCATTCTCAGTCTTCAGTGCGACCAAATGATTGAAACGAAATGAAGCAAGGCAGGCGCTCGACGAAATGTGAGTAGGGGAATCCCACAAGGTGAAGTTCTCTCTCCTTTTCTATGGATCCAGAGAGAGAGCCAAGCATTCTTTGATTGCCTTATACTGCTATAAAAGATCCATTGGCAGAAGGTGGCGTCTCTCACCGAAAGTGATCCTCTGGTTCTACGACACCATATTCAAGCCTATTTTATACCATGGAGTATTTATGTGGTAGAGGGCTCTAGAAAATACCACACTTGCAAAGAAGGCCATTAACGTCATCTTGCACATAGTGCCCGTGGACATCGTCGACCTGACTCAGAGAACCAGGGTTCCTAACAGTACTCGTGTCTGAACACTTTGAAATCTTCACTCATTTTGGCCAGATACCAGACCACTTGGATCATGAAGCCGCGTTCTCCTTCAGGGAAGTGACCATTTATTTATATAGCACAGCGGCAATACTGACCTCGAACTTATTAATAGTGCGTTAAGGGATAGTCGAGGACTGCTTAACCCCGCTATCAGTAGCATCGAGTGTCTTTGTGATAAGATTGGGATAAGACTGCGGAATGGCAGAAACTTGCAAATTTGATGAGCTAGCAAAGGAAAAGTACCATGGAACAGCTATCGGTAGAATAGGAGCGGGTCGCTTCTCCCGTATTCTTTTGTGTTGTTCTACCGCTTAATAGCTAGGCTTCGCAGAAGCTTGGCCTGCGCTGACCAAGATCGATCGTTCCAGTGATCTTTTTGCACTCACTATGACTAGCCTACCCCTAGTTATGGGGCTTTTAACAGGTAGTTGTCCGTTTGGCATCCATGCCTTAAACCTGGGAGAAGCAGAATAGTGTACTGTGGCAAAATATTCCTGCAAGATCAAATGTTTTCCAACGTAGAGATTATTGCTGAACAGCTTTACCAAGCATTCTAGAATATCCTACTAGCACATTTCTATACTGGTTTTAACCCCTTTTGTGCATAAATGGAGGGCAATGGTCAGGTTTGCTCAAGTCGTGGAGATGACCCAAACTCATTGAATCTCACTTGGACAGAAATTCGTCCTTTGTGTTACCCAAAAACTCCTAAGAGGTAGATCATGAGATCCTCAATGATCAACGAATCTTGTTACAAATGTATTAGGCCAATCCCAGCAACTCTGAAAGTTTCGCTAAATTTCGACAAGTTTATTACATCTCGCCTTCCGCATTACAGCTTTGGCAAACAACGTTCGACAGAAAACTGAGCTGCACCTAGAATTGCGGCGAGTTTAGCTTATCGAAGAGCTACTAGTTTGGATGACCTTTTGCGGTTCACTCCAGACCAGAAGGATCTCGCAGTCGCAAAAGTTTTGGTTGTTGACCAACACTTACTGAACTAACAAAAATCCAATGATCCTACGCCAGAATGCAATTTCAATGGAATGAAATTGTGGAAATTAAGGTCATCCTCCATCCGTAATCCAGTTCATCGGCTTTGCAGTTTTCAGCGATTCCGTAGTGGGTGGTCAGCCTTTACAAGAGACTCCACATTAAATTATTACAGCAGCTTCAATAATGAAAAATTTTGCATCTGGCTCTACCGCTTGCATTTGCTGAATATAATTGGTTGCAATCTAGTTCTCAGAAGACCGTTCTCAGTTGACCGGTGGTAGGTCGTTATGCAGAGACCGCTTCGAAGATGTTTTATATTCATCGGGTATACATTTCTTCCGAAATAGTTTTCCATTGGCAGACACTGTAGTGCCTTTGAAGCAGAGGTGGCAACATTGAAATAACAGCAGATGTATTTCTCCGAAGTGTGACTACTTTTTGGAAGATATGTATCCACCCCATTAGCAGAGCTGCTATACAAGCCTTGAGCTCGTTGAGAGTAAGCTCAAAGCTAGTTAAATATTCTCAAATGTTGCATAGTCCATGAGCCTGCAAAAAAAAAACACCCTTACCCAAATTCTATTTGCAGAGGTAAGCGCAGTGATTCCTCTTTTCTTCGTACTTTCGGGCGATGAATCTATGGACCTAGCACGAGCTCACCCAGCGTTGGTTAGCAACCAGAACTTGTGCGGCCTCTATGACTAATGTTAAAGCATCTCGTTTGCCATAATTTTTACGAACCCAGCGAATTGACGGGAACTAATATAAACCGCGTCAATACATTTTTAGATATGTGGCGATTTTTTATCCACATCTCGAAATTCTGGCCATCACAACGAACAAGCCTCTCTAGCAATTCAAGTGGGTTCATTTGTGGCTTCACGAGAAATCAGTATATTTAACTAACCCAGCGTATAACTTTTTGAAAGATTTAGGGCATAAAAAGCTAAAACTGAAAAAAAAACTTGAAAAATTAGGAAATCTTAATATACCATATCTTATTTAACAGTTTAATGACATTCAAATGGCATATCTAGTGGGAACCTAGCCTAAATACTAATTTAAAGAGCGCAACATTTTCTTAAAAATTTTATTACATTTTTTCTTTAAATATATTTTAAAAATCAACTAACCTGAAGAAATCTCAACTTTCCCGTCACTTACCAGGCAGTCGTCGCCCATCCATATTACCCGTACCGGACATGTTCACCTCATCATCGTTCAGCATATCAGGCAATGACGACGGCGAAGAAGGCGATGAGAGCGAAGATGAAATTGACGATGATGTGCCGTGGCGATCGCCATCTGAGAAAATAGCGTAAGTCCATTGACAATTCATACACTATGTGCCATAAGTATGTATATATTTGTACATGGTATGTGTATGTACTTGTATATTCCCGTATGCACCCAAATCCATAAACTCACCGATATCCATGTAATCAATTTGTCTCTCCTACATATAATATGTTCATTTAAAAAATAGTTGAACTACTTCTCTATTTCGTAAATACCCACTACTTAATCCTGGCAATACGTTGGTTCTAGAATTTTTTTTTTATTTGTGACTTTTTATGCAAAATCGACACACTCACTTACTTATGAACATATTTAGTGATTTAGTGTCTTCGAAAAAATGTTTTTGATATTTACAGTTGTAATAGTGTGTGTATATGTTTTACTCCCTTATTGTTGTTCAATACCCAATGTTAACTACAATAATGATAAGTGTACTTGTGTCTTAACTAAGGTTGTGAACCCCACTAAAATCAGCGCTTATGGAAAATGTCTTGAAAATAGTTTTTTGTAAAGTGTGTTCAAAAAAACTGTTGACAAAACACGTTGAAGAATGTTTGTAGAAATAAGAAGTCATAAAATTCAAATTAAAAAAAAAATTGTAAATAAAAAAGAAATAAACTAATTATAATTATATAAATAAAGTAAAATAATAAAATGAAAAAGTTCCACGTCGTTCCCCTCAAAGTAATCCCCCTTGAGAGCAAAAACCTTGCGCCAACGTTTTTTCCAATCCTCGAAACAGTTGATAAAGCCAATTTTCGAAATGGCCTTCAATGCAAACAACAATTCACTTTCAATGTCTTCAACTGACTCAAAACTTTTTCCCTGGAGCGGTCGCTTGAGTTTGCTGAATAGCCACAGGAGCTGAATCAGGCGAATACGGTGATTGCGGTACGATATTGGACGAAAATTTGACGAAAAACTCACGTAGTTTCAATGCGGTATGCGGCGGTGCATTATCATGTTGCAAAAATAAAGAGTTTTCGTCCCATAAATGCGGCCTTCTTTTTTTACAAACGACATATAATATTCAGAAAGATTTCAATGTTGACAGTTTGGCTAGTCGGAAGGAATTCGGAGTGCATCACTTCTCGATAATCGAAGAAAACAGTCGACACAGGATTGATCTTTGACCTGCTTTGACGTGGTTTTTTCGTCTTCGATTCACCTTTGTCACAATATGCGGCCAAATGGTTATTTGCTTCCAAGTCTTAAGGATAGATGCAAGACTAATTGCAAGTAATAATACGTTTCATGAGGTTCTGGTAATTATAAAGCATTGTTTCACAGAAGTTAACGCGATGCTGTTTTTCGAAAAAATTTAGTTTTAGAACAATGACAGTAAGATTTCTGATTGTTAACCGTCGATTCCCAAGTACCAATTCCACCGAAAACCTTTTCCAACTTCCTGAACGTTTCGGTACCAAAAATTTGATACCCCACACAATATTTAATGGAACTTCGTTGTTGAATGATTTCACTCGTTGTAAAAATCCCCGAATGCACTTTATGTACTTTAGAAGGACAAGCATAAAATGGGTTCTTTAGTAAGATCGCTACAACAAAAAACGGCTTGGGATATCAATGAAATTCTTTATTCCTGTGAAAGTACATTTGATATCATTTTGTATGGGACTCGATTTCTTTTGCATGGCCATCATGGGCATTGCATTGCAGAAGTCCAGACGCTCAACCCAATTTTCGACGGTTTTCAAACATAAATTGTCCGATACTACTGAAATTTCGTGAAAAAACACGTTCACCAAACTTGGTTTTCAATAAATCGATTGTGACATTCGCTGCTTGGCTTGTGGCGCCGTCCCATTAGAACTACATATTGTCCAAGTTCATATCATCCGATTCGGGCCAAAATATTCGGTTATGATTGAGCGGCAGCGATTCCCATTCACAGTAACGTGCCGGTCTTGATCATCAAGGAAGAAAACCGTACCAAACCATAATTTTTTTGGGCTTCAAGGTGACTCATAGAGTACGTGTGGATTGCTGCCTGAACAATAATGCAGATTTTGTTTATCGACGAAGCCATTCAGTCAGAGTAGAGCCTCGTCGCTGAATATGATTTTTCGACATCACAGATTGATTTGGGTCCTATATTCTCGGCACTTTTTCGTCTCACGACACGGGAACATTTTATAGTGTGCCTTTGGTTTCAAATTTTTCCACTAGACCCTCAATTGTTGATCTGGCAGGACGATTTTGACGACCATAAATTGAACGTTGTGCTCTTAAAGTTGAGGCCACTGTCTCCGAATTTCGTAGTAAATTTTAATAATTTCGACTCGCTGTCGAATCGCATGTCTTTCCATAATGAAATTGCAAAACCTGCTGAAAAAAAAATTTCAGAAGAGGGGGGAAAAATATGGTGCCATTTGCTGTCTTTATCGGTCTACTTTTGTAGCGTTCCTACTGAAGAGCCTATTAGATGATATATAATCCTATAATATTGAAATATGATATACTACAGTATTCAAAATTATGAAAAAATAATAATTTTATAAATCATAAAAATAATAA